CCCCCTCGGGTAAGAGCTTCAAGCATGTCCATCCCCCAAACGTTGCACATCTTACTCATTGTGATTTCATTTATATAACATTCTTGGAATGAAAAAATTACATAAGTGAAGAATAGAATAGTGGTTATTAGAGCGTAGAGATGGTGGTAGGAGGGAGTAGGTACAGGTAAGAAATCAAAGAGGTCTTTGGGGTGATGTAATAGCTCTGTATCATGATTGCAGTGGTAATTATATGAATCTACATATGTGATAAAATGGTAAAGAACTACACACACATATTGTACCAATGTCAACTTGCTGTTTTTGATATAGTTATGTAACACGCAACTATTAGAGGAAACTTGGTGAAGATTACATTTGTATCATTTGTACTATTGTTTGGGGAGGTGTTAAATTTTTTTTCTGAATCTTAACCATTATTGCTTTTATTTTATTTACTGTTTTGCTTGATATCATTTTTGTTAATTCCTGTGAATCTATAATTACTTCAAAATTAAAAGGTTTTTTAAAAGAATGTGAAATAAAGACATTTTTAAACATAGAGATGTTGAAAATAACTCATCACCAGTAGACCAGCATTACAAGAAATATTAAAAGATGCCTATGTTGGTTAATTTTATGTAGTAATTTGACTGAGCCACAGAGTTCCCAGATATTTGGTCAAACATTATTCTGTGTGTTTCTATGAGGGTGTTTCTAGGTGACATTAACATTTAAATCAGAAGGCTGAGTAAAGCAGATCACCTTCCATAATGTAAGTGGACCTCATCCCAACAGACCTGAATAGAGCAAAAAGGGTGACCCACCCCAGAGTGAGAAAAAACTCTTCCTGGCCTTTGAACTAGGACATCAGCTTATTATTCCTGCCTTCAGAGTTGAACTGAAACATTGTCTCTTCCTGGGTCTCAAGACTTCCAGCCTTCAGAGTTAAATTACACCATCAATTCTCCTGGATCTCCAGCTTGCCAACTCACCCTATTTGCCACCCTTCATAATCATATCAGCTGATTCCTTATAACAAATCTCTTTACACACACACACACACACATACACACGCCCTATTGATTCTGTTTCTTTAGGTGAACCCTAGCCAATGTAATGTCCTTCAAGCAGAAGGAAAATAACACAAAATGGAAGTCTGGATGTATACAAAGGAATAAAGATCACCTGAAATGGTAACTACATGTGTAAACATATAAGATTTTTTTATTATTATTTATAACTCTTAAAAAAGAAAACTGACTATCCAAACAAAATAACAAGATAGTATTGCAGGTTTTGTAACATATATAAAAGTAAAATGCATAACAACAACAGCATAAAGATCAGGCTGGAAGAAATGGAAGTATACTTTAGATGGAAGGAAGAAGGTCAAAAGATCTATTGCACAACATGGTGACTATAGATAACATATTGTAATTTTGAAAAAATGCTGAGAGTGGATGTGAAGTGTTCTAACGACAAAAATGATAACTACGCAAGGTAACACATATGTTATTTAGCTAGATTTAGTCATTCCACAATGTATATATACTTTTATCTGTCAATTCCAAAATATTTTTAAAAGAAATGGAAGTATATTATTAAAGCATATAAAGGTAGGTCAAGATAAGATCTATAGTATAAACCCTAAAGCAGTGGTCCCCAACCATTTTGGCACCAGGGACTGGTTTCATGGAAGACAGTTTTTCCATGACAGGCGGGGTAGGGGACAGATGAAGCTTCCTTGCTCACTCACCAACTGATCACCTCCTGCTATGCACCCCACCCCCACACACCCCCTTCCTAAGTTTCATGGAAGATAATTTGTGAGGGGCAGAGTTCTGCAGCCTGGGGGTTGAGGGGACCATAGCCCTAAAGAAACCACTAAAATAACAAAACAAAGAATTATAAGCCAACAAAAAAATAAAATAGAATCTTAAAAAGTAATTGAAAAGAAGGCAGAAAAAGAGGAAAGGAAGGATAAAGAACAAATGAGATAAAGGAAAAAACATAACAAGACAGATTCAAACTTAACTGTATCAGTAATCACATTAAATATAAATATTCTAAACACCTCTATTAAGAGGCAGAGATGGTTAGATTGAATAAAAAATCAAGATCCAACTACGTATATGCAGCTCAAAGGGAATACACTTTAAACGAAAAGACATAAATAGATAAAAGTATGGCAACAAAATATACCATGCTAACACTAATAAAAAGAAAGCTGAAGTAGCTATATTAATAAAAGACAGTAGATATAAGAGCAAATGTGGTATCTCCACACAATTGGATACTACTCAACAATAAAGAAATAAACTATGAATATATATAACAATATGAATGAATCATGGAATAATTATGCTGAATGAAAAAGCCATAAAAAAGAGAACATTCTCTGTGATTCCATTTGAATAAAACTCTACAAAACGCAAACTAATCTATGATGACAAAAAACAGATCAGTGGTTGCTTGGGGAAGAGTGGGAGGGAGAGGTGACAAAAGGGCTTGAGGAAACTTTTGGGTGTGATGTATTAAAATATATATTCTTTATCTTAATTGTGGTGATTGTTTCACAGGCATATACATATATGTCAAACTCATCAAATTTTATACTTTAAATATGAAGTTTATTGTTTGTCAACTATCTCAATAAAACTATTAAAAAATTAAGAACAGTAATGGATTATAAATCAGTGAAAAAGTAGGAAGACACAAATCCAAACTGAAAATAAATTAATAAGTAAATAAATAAATATTAAATAAATGGGAGAAGAAGGAAGAACTCTTGCTTATAGAATGCTTGGAGTATAATGTTGGTGGGAGTGCTGAAGTTAGAAAACAATCATTTGACAACCATCATAATAAAGATTGGTTCAGACAAGAATGCCAACTCCAAAGGGATATTTTAATGAAAACTAAGACATGTGCATGATCTGTAAGTCTTCCAATCGTTTATTAGTTGCAAAAGAAAAAAATATTAAATATGCAGTGAAGAAATCAAACAACACCTTTGACTAGGTGATCGACATTAACATCACCAACGAGGAGCAGATGGACATCATGTGTCCCCTAATGTGATGCCCTGAGAAGGGACACAGCATCATTTATGTAGAATTCCAGCCAGGAATGCATAACTTGAATTTAATCATGAGGAAACATCACATAAACCGCAAATGAAGAACTTTTAGTTAAAACAAAATGGGGGGATACTTCTCCCAAATATCAATGACACAAAGTCAAAGAAAGGCTGTGGAAATGTTCCAGATTATAGGAAGCTATAGAGATATGACAGATAAATGCAATAGCTGATCATTTATCAAAGGAAAAAAAATGAGTTCATTACTGAAGAGATATATACAGGGGAAGGAGAGGAGAGAGGAGGGGAGAGAAGGGAGAAGGAAAAAGGGAATAGGGAGAGAGAAAGTGTGATGTAAGTGTGCGAAATGTTAACAAGTATGAATTTAGCTAAAGTATATACAGGTGTGCTTAGAATCATTCTTGCAACTTTTCTGTAAGTTTGAAATTATTTTCAAATAAAACTTTTAAAAGTATATATTGTCATGGAAATCTTAATGCACCCATTTGCGCTATGTCAGGATCAATCATTAGGCTATTAAATGTGCTATGTCATGAGCTATGTAGGTGAGTAATTACTTGTATAAAATTGCAACTTTTGTGTCCAATAAACAAAGAGAGATGCTGGGAAGAAGCCTTATCTACTTCCTGATTTGTCTTGGTTCCTATTTTTAATTTGTACTTTCATCTTAGCAAATAAAAAAAATAAAAGAATGTAACATCTGAAAATGTTCCTGTCTATTAATATTTTTAATTTTTTTAAGAATTTCAATGTTAAAGAAGTTCTTCAACATTAAATAATCCCATCCACATGGCGTAAATTTCAAGAAAATATAGTTCAGTTAAATGCTCTGTTTGAGGAATTTAATATTCTGGTTAATTGAATTATTCATTTTCATGCTTCCATTCTATTGAAAAAAATTTCTAAAATGTATCAGTATATTTAATGGCCTTATTAAGTAAACCACATTGATCCTAATTGAATATCTTTTTAAAGGGTCATCAGCCTATCAGTGTTCTTTGTCCAAAAGTGTAAATGTATACATGTTTTTATTTTGTTTTGATATGTTTTGTTTTGTTTTGTGATGGGGGTCTCGCTGTGTTGTCTAGGCTGGAGTGCAGTGGCTATTCACAAGTATGATCGTAGCACACTGCAGCCTTGAACTCCTGGCCTCAATGAACCTTCCACCTAAACCTCCCAAGTGACTGGGACTATAGGCATTTGCCACTGTGCTCAGCTTTGTATGCATGTTTTTATGTACATATGAGCATGAGCTGAAAGTGAATAACTGAAGTTGTTTTTAAAACTAAATCCCATTATCTGCCTATTTTATCATCATTTACTTCTTTATCCTAAAAACTCACAGTGGAGAGATCCCTTTCTGTTTCTCAAAAATCTATGGTGTTCAAGAAGCATTTATTTTTTCAGTCCGTTCAGGTTGCTATAACAAAATATCATAAACTAGGTAGCCAATAACAGAAATCTATTTCTCACAGTTCTGAAGGCTGGGAACTCCAAGATAAAGGTGCTAGCAAATTTGGTGTCTGGTGAGAGCTTACTTCTTCACAGATGGTGCCTTCTTGTGTCCTCACATGATGGATGTAAAGGGTAAACAAGCTTTCTTGGGCCTCTTTTATAAGAGCATTAATGCCATTCAAGAGGGGTTTGCCCCATGATGTAATGATGTCTCAAAGTCTTAATCTCCTAATACCATCATTTTGGGGGTTAACATTTTAACATATGAATTGGAGGGGAGGATACAAGCATTCAGAGCATAGCAATATTTTTTTTTCTTTTCTGTACTACAGAATAGATTAAAATAATCTGTTGTTTTAAAAAGAATCAATACTGAAGCAAACGGCTAAACCGGATTTCAAAATGTGATTCAAAACTTTAAAAATTCATTAAGTTAGTATTCAAAAGTAAAAACCTCTTATACCTTGTTTGCTAGGTTTATGGCACAGAGAGCCTTATCATAATATTCTTTGTCATCGCAATCCAAATAAGTGGTGGCTAGTAACCGTAGAACTTTAGCCTGTAATTAAAAATAGAAAAAAGCACATAACTGAGGGTTAAACTGCAACACAGCAACTGACTAGCACTTCCACAGTGGCAGGCATCTTCTCAAACATAAATCATCTTTATGAAATAGCATTTCCTTAAGCAACTGCATAGTCTTAGGATACGTCTCATCATTATGGTACCCATACCAAATATTGTCTAAGAATCTTATGGTAATGGTTACATTCCTGACTTATTTAAATTTAATATACTAACATTAATATAATTATTTTTAACAACATTTAGCATTACGGTATTTTACCTCCACTTTAAAAATACAGAAACTAAGGCACAGCAATATTTAATTTAATCAGTTTATCGCCTACTATATAGATAGTATTGTATTAGGTTGCCATCAAAAAGAGATCAATAAAAAGACATAATTCTGCCTTCATAGGCTTTAGAGCCTAGTTGTGATTAACCTATTGGATCACGGGCACACATAAAACCATTTCAGTTGGAAGAGATATACTTTCCTATTAGTATATACAGGATTTTCCCCAACTGAGCTACATTTTAAAATGAATAAAGTATCACTAAATCAAGTAAGTTTCTCCAGCCAGATCAGCATTGATAAAGGGAGTAATTCTAGTCAGTGTGGATATGCGTAACTATAGATTCATAATTTGAAAGAAGAAGCCCTACTTCAATGAAGAATCTGCCACTAGGTATAACGACGATAGCAGGACCAGGCAAAGGTAATCTACTAACTTTAACAACAAAAATATATATTAAGTACATGAGGGCTCTGTGAATCTAGAAAAATTACATTTGGGGTGTCATATCTCTGAGTTTTTTAACTCAAAAACTAAAATGGATCAAATAATAGGTATATAAAGAACTTAACCGAGAACTTATAAGTTCCCCCAAATGACTTTTATGCAGTAAATATGGCATCTCTGAAAAATATTGTAACTATTTCATAACAGTAAAAGGGTCAAATCATCTGAAAGACATAACAAAATGGATGAATCTCAAAACTTGTGTAAAGAAAAATAAGCCAGACATAAAATAGTATAACTGTATGATTCCATTTATATAAAGCTCAAGAATAGCAAAAAATAATCTATAGTAATAAAAGTCAGAATAGTGAGGTTTTTTTCTTGGGAGCAGCAACTGGATATAACTAGAATGAGGCCAAGGGAATGTTTAGGGGTGATGGAAGTTTCTGTATTTTGATCTGTATGGTGGTTATAAGACCACATATTAAAATTCATCAAGCCAGGCCGGGCGCTGTGGCTCACGCCTGTAATCCTAGCTCTTGGGAGGCCGAGGCGGGCGGATTGCTCAAGGTCAGGAGTTCGAAACCAGCCTGAGCAAGAGCGAGACCCTGTCTCTACTATAAATAGAAAGAAATTAATTGGCCAACTGATATATATATAAAAAATTAGCCGGGCATGGTGGCGCATGCCTGTAGTCCCAGCTACCCGGGAGGCTGAGGCAGAAGGATCGCTTGAGCCCAGGAGTTTGAGGTTGCTGTGAGCTAGGCTGACGCCATGGCACTCACTCTAGCCTGGGCAACAAAGTGAGACTCTGTCTCAAAAAAAAAAAAAAAAAAAATTCATCAAGCCATACACTTAAGATTTACTGCATAAATGCCAGTAAAGTACTGCTGGCATAAAAGAAAAACTATACATATTACCTCAGCAAACTTCACATTATGAATACTGAATTTCAATCAGACTTGTACACTATCTTCCATTCTCATTTCTTCCTCAAGACATCCTCTCATCTAGATTTTTTTTGCTTGGAATCCTTTTCTTCTTCCCTTTTAACTGTGTGGACCCCATCTACAAGGCCCATATCCTAAAAAAGTCTTCTTCAACTATTCTACCTAAACTTGATAATCCCCTTTTCTACATGCCCTTCTTCATACTTCAGGTCAGTACCATAAACTTTATCATTTATTTTCCCAAATTGTTTCACTTGCACTAGTGCTTTTTAAAATCTATTTTTGACATTTTAATTGATGTATAAAATACATACAGAAAAATTCAAAAATATCAAGAGTATAGCTCTGTCAATTTTCACAAAGCAAACAAATATATGTTAACAACACAAAAATCAAGAAACAGAACATTAACAGCAACCTGCTGACCTCATAAGCTTCTTTTCAGACACTATTCTAAATAAGGGTTCCTTCCCTGACTTCCAACACCATATATTAGTTTTGCCTGTTTTTGGCATTTATATTTATGGAATCATACCATATGTACTACTTTGTATCTTGCTTTGTTTACTCAATATTATATGTGCGGATATCCATATTGTTGCAATTATTGTAGTTCATTGATTCTCATTGCTATATAATATTCTGTTAAGTGACAATGTCAATATATATGTAAAATTATAGTTTTTAATTCTGGTAAAATACATATAACATAAAATTGACCATCTTAAGCATTTTTTTAAATGTATCTTTTAGAGACAGATTCTCATTATGTTGCTCAGGCTGGAACACAGTGGCTATTCACATGAGTGATCATAATGCACTGCAGCCTCCAACTACTGGCCTCAAGCAATACCCCTGCCTCAGCCTCCCAAGTAGCTGGGATCACAGGTGTATGCCACTGTACCTGGCTCTATGACCACCTTAAACATTTTTAAGTGTACAGTTCAGTAATATTAAATATATTTGCATTGTTGTGCAACCATCACCACCAACCATCTCCAGAACTCTTTCCATCTTGCAAAACTGACACTGTACCTACTAAACAATAGTTCTCAATACTCCCCCACCTTCAGCCCCTAGAACCACCATTGTACTGTTTCTATGAATTTGACTACTCCAGGTACCTCGCATAAGTAGAACCACACAGTATTTGCCTTTTTGTGAATAGCTTATTTCAACTAGCATAATGTCAGATTTCTTTCCTTTTTAAACTTGAATAATATTTCATTGTATTCACTTGTACTAGTTTTATCCTTGAAACATAAGCTACTTAAGGGTAGAGGCTATATTTTATGCTTCTCTTTTACTTCCCATATATCATAGTGGTAAATACATAATATAGGTCTTCAGTTATATTTTGATTAATATACTATAATAGTAAATAGCAGAGATAAAAAAAGAAAAAAATTTTTTTAAAAAGCGAGATGAATATTCAAAAAATTCCATTTTGCTATAGCATGTGATAATTTTATATCAGATTTATTTACATAATCACATTTTGCTTAATTAAATATTAAAATTAATTTACATACCCAAGCATGTTCTGTCTGAGTGGTTGGGGGAAAATCTGGGATTTTTAAATATGCAATAATAAAAGCTAAAACTTATATAAGCAAACATTGTTCAAAACACTTTGCATATGGCTCATGGGTACAAGCCTAAGAGATAGATATTATTACACAAATTATACATACATTAATTCACTGAGATGTTAATCATGTGCCCAATAGATAATCCATGCTAATGGAGGGTAGACTATTATAATTTTATAACAATAACATAAACCATATTTCTTCAACCTACTTCTGCAATATGTAACGTGATCCTTACCAGCATTTCTGGCCCAAGAGAATTCTTATCCATCTTCCCAATATCATAGCTTTGGCTAGCATTAAAAAGGAAAAATATATGTGTGCATATATATTCATTTCAAATCACACATAATTTTTCAAGATTATATATTACTAAGAAGACATAGTATAATATTTTATTCCAACAATTCTATTTTACACTACAACAGATAATTAGCCAATTAATATATGAAAATTAATCATATAAAGCAATACTTTCTAACCATACAAAACCACAATTTCCACAGGAGATATCCAATAAATCAATACTATAATTATATTAATGCTGTTTTCCATTTGGATATATATATATATATACTGCATTAAAATACTTTATAAGTGTATGCAAGCTCTTGCTAGGCCATTTTAAAGCTTACAAATATAAATACATTTTTAAAATAAAACAAAGGCCGGGCGCTGTGGCTCACGCCTGTAATCCTAGCTCTTGGGAGGCCGAGGCAGGCGGATTGCTCAAGGTCAGGAGTTCAAAACCAGCCTGAGCAAGAGCGAGACCCCGTCTCTACTATAAATAGAAAGAAATTAATTGGCCAACTGATATATATATAAAAAATTAGCCGGGCATGGTGGCGCATGCCTGTAGTCCCAGCTACCCGGGAGGCTGAGGCAGAAGGATCACTCGAGCCCAGGAGTTTGAGGTTGCTGTGAGCTAGGCTGACGCCACGGCACTCACTCTAGCCTGGACAACAAAGTGAGACTCTGTCTCAAAAAAAAAATAAAAAAATAAAAAAATAAAAATAAAACAAATACAGCTATTTTCACAGAAACAAATGCTTTAGCAATGTTCATTTAAGCTTCACAACATCCTCATGAAGCACTATCAGTTCCATTTTGCAGCTGAATGAACCAGTATAGTAATTAAATGATTTCTAATATTTCCTAGATTGGTATTAAAAATGAGAGTGAGGAGTTGGAGAATACAGAAATTTGACTTTCAGTTTGCTTCAATTACTAAACCATATTATCTATGAGACATTCAGATAACCACAAATAATACATTAACATGAGTCTGAGTTTCAAAACCTAAAACTTAAAAAGCAAAGCAAAGATCACTCACCATAAAATTGGTATTCCAAGGAAGTATGTCAATAAAATCTTGGTGAACTGAACTAAACTGAATACAATACTTCGAAATATCCCTTTTTTAAAAACTCTAGAAGACCTAGACTACCAAACCAAGTTTTCAGATTCCTAACAAAGACACAATGCTGGTCTAGTCTTTGTAAACCATCTCTCATAAAGGTATCCTTTGTTACATTAAACTCTATACTTCCAGTTTTTAAAATAACCATTGAGTGGATGGAATTTCTGCAATGGTGCTATAATGAGCTCTTTGGACCCTCTCTCCAGTGAAACAACTATTTTTCTGAAAAATTTATTAAAACAAACAACCACTCAAAATCTCTGGAAATTGTCCATATGGCATGTAGAAAATGGGAAAAGATTTATTCATGAAAATTAACTAAATCTCAGTATAACCAGCAAGAATCTATGGCATTTGAGCCATAACCTGCTCCCATCCATACTGGCTCCATGTGATAGAAGCTACTCCAGATGGGTGTAGCCAAGAAGATGGGAATTCACTCTCCCTCCAGCTCCTAGACTCCTAGGCAATGGTTTGATCTTGGGAGGAGCAGTTTGCCAGTCTCTCTTACCATTCCCAGGCATGTGTTATAAAAGTGCTATTCTAGGCAGGCACACTTGGACCCTGATCACCTTCACCCCAGCTGGCTCATCAGGCAGAGGTTCTATGCCAAAAGGGCAAAATAAGAAAATGAGGGGCTACCATATCCCCAGCATCCACTAATAGAGCTGGAGCGTCATTTCAGGAGAAGCATGCCATGCAGCCTGCTCCCAGATCCAGTCATATGACATAAAGGTTCTGACCAGGGGGAAAGACAAGCAGCAAAGAAAAGAACTCCACATCTCTTCTTGAGAGTACTGATGTTATTTGGAACAGAGCATAGAGGAGTTCATGCCTAAGGACTTGTTGAAAACAATGGAGATTTTGGTGGTGAGCAATTAAGAGGGGGCTGGTAGCTCCATGATAATACTAGCAACAAGGGAAACTACAGACCAGCCAGAAGGTTACTAGAGTGAACAAGGGAAAGAAATAGCCAAGAAGAACACTCAGGGTCCAGGGTCCAGAAGGCTGTGTATATGTGCTAGGCTACATCTACTCAGGGACAATCAGAGCAGACTAAAAAGCATTATTCAAGGCATACACAGATCCATCAGCAATGAACCTTGAACCTGACTGGCTAAAGGGGCTTAACCAGAACGTCTGACCAAACACCAACTGAAAATTAACCTAAGGCCCAGGGTAACTGTTGTGAAGCCAAGCTTAAAAATCAAACCAACCTAGGGATCTGGGAGACTGTGCATGCCAAAGACTGTACTCTCTCAGGCACTGCGCAGATGAAGAACCTAGGAGCTACCAGTCCCTACCTGAATGCAGGGCAAAGCCATAAACTCCCTGAACTGTGAAAAACAAGTCTCTAAACAAACACACATCCAACAAGATAGGGTGAAAAATCTAACTGGCTAGGTGGGCTTAAGCAAAATGTTTGACCAATCAGTGAAATATTTGGATACAGGGGTGACCCCTAGGAAGCCATGAAAAGATAAAAACAAGTGGGAAAACTCTGACCAGGGACACTGTAGGGAAAATAAATGTTACCAAATTAATTCAGCCAAGTAACTAAACAAATAAATAACCAAACAAACAATAAAACAATAAGTCCTGAAAGGGGAGAAACAGTATCTAAGACTTGCTACAAAATATTATCCAAAATGTCTAGTATTCAACAAAATATTACAAGACATACTATGAAACAGGAAAGTGTTACACATACAGAAGAAAAAGAGAAGGCAACAGAAACTTCCTTTGAGGAAGCCTAAATGTTGCACTTAGTGGAAAAAGACTTCAAAGCTGCTATTATAAATATACTCAGGCTGGGCGTGGTGGTCACGCCTTATAATCCTAGCACTCTGGGAGGCCAAGGTGGGCGGATTGCTCAAGGTCACGAGTTCGAAACCAGCCTGCCTCTACTAAAAATAGAAAGAAATTAATTGACCTACAAAAATATATATATACAAAAAATTAGCCGGGCATGGTGACGCCTGCCTGTATTCCCAGCTACTTGGGAGGCTGAGGCAGTGAGGATTGCTTGAGCCCAGGAGATCAAGGTTGCTGTGAGCTAGGCTGACGCCACGGCACTCACTCTAGCCTGGGCAACAAAGTGAGACTCTGTCTCAAAATAAATAAATAAATAAACATATTCAAAGCATTAAGGAAAATCATATTTAAAGAATTAAAAGAAAGTATGATAACAGTGACTTATCAAGTAGAGAATAAGAGTACATCAATTAAGACAGAAATTATTAACAAAAGACACTCTATAAAAAAGACACCTGCACTCAAATGTTTATAGCAGCACAACTCACAATTGCAAAGATGTGGAAACAACCCAAGTCCCGATCAACATGTGAGTGGATTAATAAAATGTGGTACATGTATACCATGGAGTACTATTCAGCCATAAGAAACAACGGTGATATAGCACCTCTTGTATTTTCCTGGATAGAGCTGGAACCCATTTACATAAGTGAAGTATCACAAGAATGGAAAAACAAGCACCACATGGACACACCAGCAAATTGGTATTAACGGATAAACACCTAAGTGGACATATAGGAATAACATTTATCGTTGTCGGGAGTACGGGGAGGGATGGTATATACATACATAATGAGTGTGATGCGCTCCCTCTGGGGGATGGACACGCTTGAAGCTTTGACTTGAGGGGGGAGAAGGGGCAAGGGCAATATACGTAACCTTAACATTTGGACCCCCATAATGCTGAAATAAAATAAATAAATAAATAAAAGACAATGAAAAGGCAAAAAAAAAAAAAGATAGAAATTATCTATAGTAGGTGTAACCAAATTGAGGCCCCACCAGCCAAATCCACCCCTACCCCAGCCTGTTTTAAGAGATAGAAATTATTAAAAAGAAACAAATAGAAATTCTGGAGCTGAAAAGTAAAATCACTAAAATGAAAAATTCAGGCCAGGCGCGGTGGCTCACGCCTGTAATCCTAGCACTCTGGGAGGCCGAGGCGGGCGGATTTGCTTGAGTTCGAAACCAGCCTGAGCAAGAGCAGACCCCGTCTCTACCTATAATAGAAGAAATTAATTGGCCATATTATATATAGTAAAAAAATTAGCTGGGCATGGTGGTGCATGCCTGTAGTCCCAGCTACTCGGGAGGCTGAGGCAGAAGGATCGCTTGAGCCCAGGAGTTTGAGGTTGCTGTGAGCTAGGCTGATGCCACAGCACTCACTCTAGCCTGGGCAACACAGTGAGACTCTGTCTCAAAAAAAAAAAGAAAAAAAGTAAAATAAAAAATTCAGTAGAGGGGCTCAATGGTGAATTTGAGCAGGCAAAACAAAGAATAAACAAACTTGAAGACAGATCAAAATACATAATACAAATCTGAAGAATATAACAGAAAAAAAAAAGAAGCAAAATAAACAGATGCTCAGAGAAATGTGAGAAATCATTAAGCACACCAACATATACATAATGGGAGTACCAGAAGAAAAGAAGAGAAAGGCACAAATAAATATTTAAAGAAATAGTGGTCAGGCCGGGCGCAGTGGCTCACGCCTGTAATCCTAGCATTCTGGGAGGCCGAGGCGGGAGGATCACTCAAGGTCAGGAGTTCGAAACCAGCCTGAGCAAGAGCCAGACCCTGTCTCTACTAAAAATAGAAATAAATAAATTAATTGGCCAACTAAAAATACATAGAAAATTTAGCCGGGCATGGTGGCACATGCCTGTAGTCCCAGCTACATACATGCCCCAAAATACATGAAGCAAAAGCTGACAAACTGAAGGGAGAGATACATAATTCAGCAAATAATAGTAGAGGACTTTAATATCCCTATTTCAATAATTGATAGAATAACTAGGCAGAACATCAAAAAATATATCTAAGACTTGAACAACACTA